AAGAAAAGAATCTGCTTTTTTAATGTTAGTGAACAAGTTCACTTTGCAAGGCATTGGGTGCTATAGGAAGATTGGTTTCATTGGTTATTGGGTAATTTATGGATACAAATCACATTAGAAATTTCCTAAAAACCACATGAAAAAAATAGAAAAGATGAGATAGTATGTGGCTATATGATTGAGTTTCCTAAAAGGAGCAACATAGACTTAGGAAAATGATACCATTATGTGTGGATGTGGTTAGAAAAGAATATATCCTGGAGAGAACAGTGATGTGAGCTATTGAAGTATGCAGAGTATGCTTCTGGACAGGATCTTGTCTAACATGGGGGCAGAAAAGCACAAGTTGGCTTCTAGGGAACAGCAGGCAGATGATTTTGACTAATGTAAAATATTTGCAAATAGGGCTGCCTATAGATGTTATTCAGTGCCTTGAATGCTAAGATGAAGAGTTTGGGCTTTTCTTATAGGCAAATTATTTTACTGATCACATTTTAATGGTTTGGAAATAATATATTTGCTTCAGTTCTCTATTGTAATTACTTTGTTGTAGTGGAGTTTTTTTAATGTGTACTTTATAAATTTAAAGATGCCAAATAAAAATGATTTTCTTCATTTCTTATGGAAGGTCTTCAATGAATTCAAAAGGTAATTCCACCTAGGGGCACTACATACAGGAGAAGGTATGGTAAGAACTTTAGATCAGGTACACTGGGTTGGAAGCCAGTTTTGCAGTGTGACCATATGCAACATTGGATAGGCTACCTAACCTGTCTAAGCCTCAAGGACAACACAGTTCCAGCGCCATAGATGTGTTATAAAGTGTAAATGTTTAGGTGATGAAAATCTGATACCTAGTTTTAATAAGGTATAGCAGTGTGTAAATCATTCTATTTTAAGACCTGTGCACTCTCACTAAATATTAACCATGCTGTATTTCTCTTTAACATAGCTATTAAATACAGCTGTTAACACAGCTGTGCATTACTATAATGTATGCATAGATTATTTATACAGATTCACAATCAGTCTTCCATAATCGTAAACCCCAAAAAGTTCAGAAAAATATGTTTATAATCTATCCTACCGAGTGTATTTTTATGTTTGTCACAGATCAGATTATTCGAGTGTTCCTCCAGACCCCTTAGGATGTTAGGTAATCCTTGGTATAATATCTTTATATAAGTCTGAAAATTTTTCAAAATACTTTATGATACTACAGGTTTTAGATAATGGGGTAGTGGACTTGTAGAGAAGTTAGCAGCTGTTTGTAATATTTTTAAACGTTTATGTTTCAAAGGTATGTTATTCATAATGTTTCAGTAACCTTTACATAATGCTTTCCATACAAAATATGAGGGAAATATTCATTTATCTTATGACCCAGCAATTCTACCCATAGGTGTGTATTCAAGAACTGAGGGGAAAAAACTATATTCACAAAAAGACCTTGTGTAAGAATTTTCACAGTGGCTTTATTCACAATATCCAAAAACATCCCAATGACTGTAGCATAAGAATGGATAAATAAATGAAACTACTCAGCTGTCAAAACAAGTGAACTACTGACACATGCAACAGTATGGGAGAGTTTCGTATATAATGCTGAGGGAAAGAAGCTGGGCACACAGAGTATATATACTCTGTGATTCCATTATATGAAATTCTAGAATAGGCAAAACTAGTCATAAAAATCAGATCGGGGGCAGAGGGTGGGGAGGACCGGGGCTGCCCAAGAACAGCTTCTTTTGTTACAGAAGGAAAAGTCAGCTTTCCATCTCTCTAGAAGTGTTTGTCCCTGGGCCAGCTTCTACAAAAAGGCCTTTTGAAATGTCTAGAATTGAGATGTATAATTTCAAGATGCCATATTTGATCAGCTTTTATCTTTGAGAGAAGAGGAAACATCATATAAACTCCTAATATGAAGCCTCGCTGGTAGAAGCTCTAGGGCCCTTGGACTATAGAAAAAACTTAGTAAAAATTATCTAAGAAACCAGCAGATTATCTTATCTGAAGTTAAATTTGAGAGAGATATACCTTCAGCATTCAGGCAGGTATATAATGTCAAGTTTCATGGATAGAAACAGGAAAAGAAGGTTGAATAACCACTTCTGTGTTAGAATAATTCTATAATGAACTCTGTAAACTCTTGAGACACAGACAGCATCATGCTCTGTGAGTACAGAATGGTGGGTGAGGTGGGGAGAAGTGCTGAAGATGCCAGAGTGAAGCTTATTCTGGATGAGACCGCCAGGTTTTAATTTCCAGCTTTGCCAGCTCAAATCTGTGCTAGTGTTAGTGTGGCCTGCCATAATGTGATGTAATCCAGTGTGCATAACTGTAGTTCATAATTTGTGAATCCCCGTGCCCTCCAGTGATGGCATTGTGGCATACTCCACTGCTGCTGCTGCTGCTGCTTTGTGAAAGCTGTGCTGCCCTGGGTTTTATTCTCCCCTTGGGCAGGGTAGGGGGAGGTCGCTGCTGATGACACCGCACCTCTTTTTCAAAATCCTGCACCCTGTTAAAGGCACACATACATTCATGAACCCTGATGTGCACATATGTATTTCTTCCATCATCTTTCTCTTTGGCTCTCTCCTGGGTTTAACACTACATCCCTAGCTAAAGAGTGTGGTTATATTGTTATCCAAAAGGAACAGTCGGGTGAAACGCGCTCCAGTACTTCTTCCCTCTACAGCGAGCGTGTCCCGTCACTTCTTCCATCTTTATTTCTAACTCTTACTTGATGACGTTTTCAAACATGTACCCACTGTTTTACTGTTGAAAGTGACTGAAGGTAGACCTATTGCTTTTTCTTTAGAGTATAATTTATAGACTTCTGGTATTCTGTTATTATATATAGATTTAAGTTTGAAATGACTTGATGAGTTTTTAGTATCCCTAGTTTTCAGGGAACAAGTTTAAGGAGTTTGGGTTAGGTGTAATGGATTGCTAATGTGTCCCTTTTGTTGCTGATGCTTACTTATTTTTATCATTAACTAGTAATTGCTACAGCTTTCAAAGAAATCCTACTCACTTTATTCTCTGTAATCTTTGCACAAATTCATAGGGGTCAAGGAATACAATTCCATAAGCATTCAGGTATCTTCTCTGTTTTCTCCTACAACGTGGTTTTTTGAAAAGTTAGCAGTGTGACACCTTACACTTTGTCTTCGTGGTGTTTTGACTCATCTTTTAATTCTCTACTGAGAATTTAGTTTAATAAAACCCAATTTAGCAGTTGTGTTTAACTGTAAATTATAGCGCCCTTTTTGTTGGTGTAGTACCAAAGACAGAGTCTTGTGTATCATTAACAGTTGCGGTAGAAAGGAAGGACAGAGAAGCTTGTCATCTGATCCTGCTCCTTTCTGAATCAGGCCAGAAAAAAGTGTCATTGGGTTACTTTGTTTTTAAATATTAAGTACTGAGGATTAGATAATGCATAAAATAAGTTAGTAGCACATAATTCGATTTCTACAGCCATCTTCAGGCATGAACCTTGGTAAGATGGACCATTATCTACTACTTTCTTTTACTGTAGCTGATGCTTATCCTCTAGGATTTAGAGATTTAAGGTTTGTAGATAAAGTTAAGGATTTTTCTTAACAATGATTTAAAAGTCCTAGCAAAGATAACTTTTGGGACAGGGTGAATGGGAATATAAGCAATTATAAATAAGAAATAGACTATTCTCAAGGAGCTTACTTTGGTAGTGTTAGTATACATGAAACTATAAATCAAGGTAGAAACAATATAATCTAAGGATGGACCTTCGAGAAGGTAGCATTTAGATTGGAGTATGCAGAGGTTAGGTAGGATTTAGAAAGAGGGTAGAATGGAGTGCAGAGGAGCATTCAAGATGGAGGGGTGGGTAGAAATATGCACAGAGATGCATAATAGGGAGTGGTTTGATTTGATTTATAGCATAAGATATGTGTAAAACATAACAGAAGATTAATTGCTTTAACTTGAGAAGATAATTTGGGCCCAGATTCACAGATAGCTTAAATGGTTTATATTTTAAGATAGTAAGAAACTGTGAAGGGTTTTAAGACATGAAAATGTGAAGGAACATTAAGAAAAAAAGTTATGTTTTATACAATTAATCTTGTCATTGTACAGATTGGAGGACAGATACTATTAACATAATATTGTAGTAGTTTTGGTAATACACCAATAATGACTAGAAGAAGAGTGACATGACAACAGTAAATGGAAAGGGTAGGGCAAATCCAAGGTAAATGGAATGGTCAGAGACAATCCAGGTTTTTTAAGCCTGTCACCGTTGCATAGTTATTAAGAGCTTCCACTTTTGAATGCCTTGTGGCTTGGACAGTGGTAATACTACCATTCTACCATTCTAACTTGGCCCTAAAGGTAGATTTGCTTTAGAATGGTAGTATTTACTAACTGAGGAAGAGTGGAATGTTGGCATAAAAGAGCAGAATAAATATTCAAATTTTAGAAATTCTTATGATTATAATTGTATTAAATTTTCCATTTTGGAAAATTAAACAGAATTCTCACATGTGAATACCACCATCATGTTATATGTTTAAAATACCAGTTTGGTGGCAGAGTGAGGGAGGTTGCTTGGTTTTTTGTGGGTTGTCCCCCCCCCTCCCCTTTAATGATCACACTGAGTTTTTGAATCCTCTACAAAATGATAGATCCTAAAGAGAATAAATGTACTATATTTAATCTTAACTAATATTTATTCCATTTAACAAAGCTTTTGGGGGAACTTTAATAAATCAGTGTAGTTTACATAAAAAATTTCCAAACAGAAATGTAGCTAGTGGCTACATGTTGAGAGTATCCTTTGTATCGGTACGTCAGCACCTTTTGGTTCCCTAATCTTTCCCTCCACGTCCCCCCACAATTGAAGCAGGTGGCTATAGTCCCATAATCCCTATTTTAAGGCTGGTGAGTACATATGGCTGTGATGTGTGCAGACCATCTTAAGTGCTTACTACTACTTTTGTGTTTTCCATGTGTAGGCAGAGGGAGAAGACAGCCTGAAGAAGATGCAGCTGATGGAGCTTGCAATTCTGAATGGCACCTACAGAGATGCCAACATTAAATCACGTAAGAATGAGACTGAGGTCCATGGTTACAGCTGAATCAATTATTTTGTCCACAAACCTTTTGTCCTGTTGGCAGTGCAGCACACGAGCTTCACACTATGTGAAGAGTCGAAATAATTATCACTTAATAAGGGACTCACAGTCCCATTTTTACTGCTTTCATGAGTTGGGGACAGTCTCCTTTATTTGATGCCAGCATGTCTAAGTTTGGAGTTTATAAACTTTTATTATTTCAATGATATTTCAACTTCTAAATTTAAAAGCTTCGGGAAATTTCCTTTTCTTTTAACTACAGATTTAAGGCTTCGAGCTTAGTGTTATATTTATGCAAAAGAGAAAATAATTTTTAGACTTTTTTTTAAAAAAGTTGATTTGGAATGTATATGAAAGCAGTGACCCTTTTGTCAAATTCTGTCCTCTCACCATGCTTGCTAATGTTCCCCTCCGGTATTTTTCTCTGTTGATTTTGCATATAAGCTGAATTCACAGAGAGCAGTAGATGATACTGTTTTAATCCCATTTTTCCTTTAGATATATCTGTGGAAGCTTCCATAAACTTGGAAGAGGATTGCTTTGCTTTTTTATTTTTTTGAGGCAGTTGAAGGTTTACAGTTCTTTTAGTGAACATAATTATTTAAATTACTAGTTTTTTTTTTTAAGAACTAAAAAATTTTTTTAAGGTTTTATTTATTTATTCGTGAGAGACAGAGAGAGAGGCAGAGACATAGGCAGAGGGAGAAGCAGGCTCCATGCAGGGAGCGCAATGTGGGACTCAATCCTAGGCTTCCAGGATCACGCCCTGAGCCGAAGGCAGATGCTTAACCGCTAAGCCACCCAGGCGTCCCAAGAAGTAGAATAGGTGTCCAAAATAGGGGCAATTTACTAGATTCAGAAGTGGTTACTTTACAAATATTTGGCTTTAATTTATTCATGAGAATGAGTATATCATTAATAGTCTTATGCTTAGGAATGGGACATTTTTTATATTGTTTTTTGTATGAAGTTCATACAGATGCAAGAAGTTTATATAAATAAAACTAGTAGTTGGCTAACTTAATACAGTAAAAATTATTCTTTTTTTCATTTGAAACTTAAGTTTTTCTTTAGAAATATACCAAAGCTGTATTTCTGTGGACTCCCAATCCCAAAATTTTTTAACCTCTTTTAATGCGAGTGTTTCCATGTGCTTTTGCATGTACCTTTAGTCTCATGAGATCTTAAAAACACAGATATATCAAATACATGAACTAAATATAACCTATTTTAATGGTCTCATTCTTTTTTTTTTTTTTTTACAGTGGCTTGTTAATTTTTGCACATTTATTCTTAATCACACTGGGAAAGGGGAAGCTGTTTGCATTTGATCAGTGTGCTTTGGCATTTTGTGTGATCAGCGCATGTACTAATGATTTCCTTTTATTTTTCTTCTTTCCTGCTTCTCCTTTCTTTTTCCTACTTCCCTCTCATTTTCCATATTTTATACTGCTGTCTCTACACTTCTCCTACATTTCTTTGCTTACTGTAGCAGCCCTTGCCTTTTCTCTTGCAGCAACAGCCCAGGCTGCTCCAAGGATTATCACTGGGCCTGCGCCTGTTCTCCCGCCAGCTGCCCTGCGTACTCCTACGCCAGCTGGCCCTACCATAATGCCTTTGATCAGACAAATACAGACCGCTGTCATGCCAAACGGAACTCCTCACCCGACTGCTGCAATAGTTCCTCCGGGGCCCGAAGCTGGTTTGATCTACACACCCTATGAGTACCCCTACACGTTGGCACCAGCGACATCCATCCTTGAGTATCCTATTGAACCTAGTGGTGTATTAGGTAAGTTGTTCTCCCTGTGTGGCTGGCAGTTTATTTCTTCATGACTTCAGTGCTTCAGACTTTGAAATGATTATATCCGTTTTGGAGAGGCAAGACAAGTTTCCATTAGGAAGACAGAAGCCTAAAGTTTGTTTTATTTCAGCCTCTCTTAATGGCTCCCTTTTTAAAGAATTGCACCTTAGATGTGCTCAGATTCTCTTTGGTAACTCAGATTCACTTTGAGTAAATCAGCTATGAACATTTAAACGGAAAGTACTTTTCACTTTTGACATCACTGAGGTCGTTCTGAGTTTGGCCTATCCCCTCCGTTTGCTCCACTGCCCACAGTTAGATTCCTTTCGTCTCAGGGAATTACTTGGTTGTCATCTAAATTTTAAATTTCTATGTGGAAATATTTTGAGATCTTTTTTATAACTGCTGTTATCGTCTGTGTGTTTTCTAATATTTGTGATCACTTAAAATATGAAAGAGACCAGGTAAATTAGTTGGATTCTTCAGCTTCTCAGTTTTTCTCTCTTGAAGTTATTAATTAATGTCAAACATGAAAGAAATTCCTAATTTCAGTAGTACAGTATGGAATTGATAAGTAAATACCAAGTCACTGTTTTAGAATCACCTTTGAGGCAAAAATTAAGATCATAGTATGAACGCTTGGTTTTACGTGAACAAAAAGTGGTGTGCTTGAAAAAGACATTACTGATGCCTTTTTTTTATAGAGTGGATTGAAATGCCAGTCATGCCTGATATTTCAGCCCATTGACTTGCTGGATGAAGGACTAGAATACAGCAGCTGTTATAACACGACCAGTCAATGTGGGACAAACTGTTTCCGTGCTGCCCCTTTGTTTTACCAGACAGAATATGAATACTTTTTTTCCTTGAATTGTATATGACCTTGGTGCTGCATGCATGCTGTTGACTCTTAGGACTTTGATCTTTTAAGGTTTTTTTTTCCAGCATTAATACTGATCTATAAAAATTTGAAAGTCTTTAATGAACCCGGACACTAAGATTTAAACTTGAAAATTCATTGTTCAATTAAAGAAAGCCACAATGCTCTGTATGTTATCTGTGTGTGTGCATGCACTCAGGTGCCTTTTGTTTCATGAGCAAATACATTTTATTGTACATGTTTTCCGTTTTATCTCTAAATCATTGTATAAAGTATCATAGGTCAGAATTTATAGAATTGTTTATGAGAAGCTTGTTTCTGTTGCACATTTCTTGAAGCATTTTTAAAATAACCTGTAACCTGTAACCTGTTTACGTCTTCCTTTCTGTTAACGCTCTGTCTTGTGGCCCCATGCCTGCTCCTTTCCCCAGAGCTCCTCTCTGCTGCACGCACAGCGTCTGTTCGAGGAGTTGGTTGCTTCCTGCAGGGCTGGCACTCTTAGCCACCAGCTGCTGTTCCAGCACTCTCAATGCAAGATCTCGCTGATTTTGCCTCGTGGAATTCTACTTGTATAAGATTAGTTTATCTAAAATGAAAAAAGGGGTGATGGACCAGTTTACTGCTTAGAAACAGCAAGAGGCACTGCAGTTTCTCATTTTAAGCAATGTGTTTTTTGTTGTGTTGGGAAATTTTTATTTGTAATAATTATTAGACTGACAAATTAAAAGCAAAATATATACAGATGCCTAATTGGCATTCATAAAATGAATAATAGTACTAAATGATCAAAATCCATTATCAATCCTGTTTCTCGCTTTGCCACCTAAGCAGTAAAACGTGACATTGAGCACTTGGAGAACTGAGAAAATTATTTCAAATTGCTAAGTTATAATAAATTTGCACACAGATAACATGCATGATATATATCAAGTCTCACATCATATTATTTTAAAATAAGCAGTGCCCTTCAAAACAGATGCAGACATGTGTGTTGGTGGTAGTGAGGAGATTGGTATTAGCATCAAATCTTCATTGATGACTAATTTTTAATTCCCTTCCTTTTATCTTTAGGTATGGCTTTCCCAACGAAAGGCTAAGAATTCAAGAACGGTCTTAACTGAACCCTCATCAGATCTGAATTTAACAAATGCTTAGTCTCAGCAGCCTCCGGGGGTGGGGTGGGGGGGAAAGCTTAGCCTAGCAGTCAGTGACTTACTTGCACTTTTTGCACACTGATAGAAAGTAAAAGTATGTTATTAATTTGGTTTAGTCTGTAATCTTACAAAGTAACGGTAATTTATAAAGGAGTGTATAGTAGTATACTGACTGCTAAGTGTACTATACTGTTTGCTTTACTAATCACCTAATTCATTGCAGTTCATACTTATTGACTCAAAGTTTAAAACCACAATCTGTAGGCTTTAAGAATTGCTTTTAAAACCTTTTTAAGTGATAAACTCTGGAAGTGGTCTTAAGGTTAGCAAATAATTGTCAGTATTAAACATGGCATTATTTAAGTGGTCCTGCTGCAAGAAAGGCACTTCAGTGAATATGTGACTAGTAAAGCTTAAATATGTTTGGATCTAATAGAATTCATGAAATACTGTAACTTGGGATTGTGAATGAATGGATAAAATAGGTTAAGGCCAAGATGTTTGAAATGAATGCAATATTAATAGACGCATATATACACAACATACTATGGTTAATTTTAAAACTACTGTGCCTTAACGTGTTTCTTAAAATGAAACTTTTGTAGTAAATGAACATTTGAAATCCATTTTGATAAACCTGCTGTTAATGTTTGTTTTCTTTTCCCTTGTGAATGTTTCTAACTTTGTCTTGGTAATTGCAATTTAACTAGGTGCGGTGGCTACTAAAGTTCGAAGGCACGATATGCGTGTCCATCCTTACCAAAGGATTGTGACCGCAGACCGAGGTTAGTTTAGTTCTGCAGTTCTTGTTTATAAGAAATGCGTTTGGTATCCATAAAATTTGCAACACCACACCTGATGGAAAAATATAACTGCTTGCCTGCACACCATTTCTTTTCTTTTTCTAAATTTGTCATAATTGACAGATTTAAGGGTTGGGATTTTTCTTTTCTTTCCTTATCTATCTTTTTCCTTTCCTTTTCTTTTCTCCCCCTCCTCCTACCTGTTTTTGTTTTTGTTTTTGTTTTGCTCCCTTCATATTTTAACTTATTAAATCCTATATTAGTATGTACTGTGATTTATTCCTACTAAAACATAAATTAGTCCATTTGGGGAGCTAGTAAATTGTGATATTGCCTTAATTATTTTTCAGTCATAATTTTTGCTAAAATTTACCTTTTAATTGTTCTGAAAAATTGGGTTGGTTTTGCAAAATGAACTAAGCGGATGGTGCTTTAATGAGAGAAGTAAAGGAATATATGCCTCCTGTGTCCTTGTGGAGAAAACTGAAGATTTAGTTTCCATTTTCCTTTTTAATAAGATATTTGAGCCACTGTGTAAACATGAGGTTATACATGTCAAGTACTTAGCTGAAATCAACAAAGTAAGGACTGTGAAGATAACTTGATGCAGTTGGATTTTTTTTTAATATTAATGAGAAAATCAATTCCCTTTTATTCTTACATTCTCTTGCCAAAATGGATCCTTTGATTTTTGTCATTTGCTGCTAAAATACATTATCTGAAGGTAAACTATCTCTTAATGTTCTGTGGAGACATGAATCCAGCTTTGAATATTTCCTCTTTGACTAACCTGTGACTGGAAAATAAGTCTTCATTTTTCTCCTTTTCAACATTTGTGATTTGTGTCCTATATATGCCCTTGGACCCTTTTATAAATTATTTATGTTTTTGAGGAGTGATATTTTCGGTTTATTGACATTGAATTGCTTTCTAAGTTTGTCATCACAGGGTAAGAATCCAAAGCAAGGTAGAAAAAGATTTTTATCAAGCTTCTATTACGGCACATTTATTACTTAATAATTAAATTGATTGAAGTCTCTAATAATTAGTGGGAAAAGTGATGGAATTTACACTTCTGTCCTCCATCTTCTATGAACTTGTGAACGACCTACCTGCTTCTCATGGTTCTCCTGAACACTGATGGTAAATAAATACTGGACACAGCTGTTGTCCACATCAGAATAAAATACTTTCCAAAGACGGTGATGATATTTATTTAGCATCATACATAATTAAAGAGCCTTGAATTGAAGACATGTAACTAATATATATGTTACTTGTGATTATTCAGTGCACAAAATAATAGGCCCCAAGCTCAGTGATGATCTGTGACAATAATGCACCTTGTAGGTGTGTCCTATACAAGTGTATGCATCACCTTCTTGCAGAACATGTCTCCTAGTGAAGGAGGTGATTTTTTTTAAGTCACTTTAGATTTAAGGAAATCAGATAATTCCATGAATAATTTGAAGCTTATTGTTTTTTTTACATTGTTAATGTCTGAAATAGTTTGAAAGAGTATTTTAAAGTAGATTTTCTTCTATTAACCTTTCCCTTCCTGCCCCTTTTAGGAGATTTTTCATAATTTTGTTTTAAAGCAATAATAATTGGCTACTCAATGCTGCAGTGCCTTGAGATAGTTGAAAATATTAGATTTTATGGTGTTTGGAAATAACAACACATTCCATGCATGGCTCTTTTGTAGTTATATGTGTTTTTGAGTAGTCTTGTCACTTTTATTCAAAATGCAATGTCAGCAAACCGAAATACTACCTTTTTTATTTTCTTTAAAGAACAGAATACTTGTATACTGCTGTTACTATCACTGTATGCACTCATTGGGTCTAAGGGAGATGTCTGAAGTCCTTCATTTAAATTATTTTATGATACTACTGTTTTCTCTAGTTTTGAGGTTTTTTTTTTTTATTTTTGAAGGGAAGAATAATATAAGCATCCATTTAATGCAAGGAAACTCAGCCCTTGGACATATAACCATGTAATCTTTTATAAGTATTTAGAGTACTGCATGGTTGACAAATATATCTAGTTCTTTACTAAAAATAAACCCACTTCTACATCTATTTCGAAACTGAATTTGAAGCCTGTAAAAGACCAACTGACTTTTTAGTTGTGATGAACCATTAAGTGATTTTGCACGGTTGACAAACCTGTGTGTACTGTAGGAGGCCAGGACTTGGCAGAGGATGTGTTCTAGGTGTACTGGTATATATATATAAGTGATAGTTTGCGTAGTTTATATATTCCACACACAAAAAAAGCATAATCAGAATTTTTCTGAGTACTGATTTTATAAAAACCATCATTTACCTAATTTGTATAAGAAACTTAATACAATTTTAATCAAAATTTTAAGTAATATCAAAAATGCTTTAAGATTCTGTATTTCGGGAGTACTTCCTGTGAAGTGGTATGACTACATCGTGTTAAATATTTATTTTCTTCTTTAATTTTGGAATAGCAGTTTTTATTTTAAATAAAATTCCACTTATTTTTAAAAAATTCAGGGAGGATTTGGTCACATTGAAGATACAGTATTTTTGTAGTATTTATAAACTATCCTAAATGATAGACTCTAGAAAGCATTTTTGTTATATGAAAGTAAACCAGTCCATTATATAGTTCATTTAAAATAACTCTGTGAACGTTATACCTACTGGGTTATGATTTATGAAGTGGCATGGAATCTACCTTTGCACTGAATAGTTTTCATTCACATCTCCTCTGCCTTAGTCACAATGCCAACAGTACAGAAAATTCTATCAAACCTCAGAATATAGCAGAAATAATTAAGCTGTTGAATGAGTCTTAAAAATCATACTACTGTTAAGTGGACCAAGTTTGGTGAAGCAGAATGTGACAGAGGTTGATTATAAGGAAGGAACAACTCAAGGACACTGGGGACGATAACTTTCCACTTGAGAACTACTTTATGTTTTACTGTAATTTTTTAATTTTTGTTTTGTTCTGTTTGTTGTTTTGCAAAAGAAAATAGTATTTACAGGTGGCTTCTTTTAAAATATAAAATATAAAGCAGGAATGTATATGAAATGTCAGATTTTATTGTATTTGCAGAGTATTAGCTTTGAAATTGAATAAAGAAAGCTGTTTGTAGTTTTAAAATGCCTTATTGGTATCAATTAGAAATTTCTTCTATTTTTTGATGTACTTAGAGCTTTTTGAGTATAGAATTTTAAATGGCAGGATTTTACAGTGTTTACATGCAAGTGCATTTTATAAGTGTTCTATATGTGTAAAATAGTATTTTCAACTGGAAAGTGTTGGCTAGCGCAGAAGGCCTGGCCTTTTTCTGGTTCCCATGATGTTGCTTACACTGCTAGACTACAGTTTAGTATTGCTTTGTATCATAAGGCCAAGAAATTCCATGTTGTTTGTAAATAGAATAATTGAAAAAGCAATAAACATTTATTGAACAAAAGAAACCTTGTTTGGCCCAGAGTTTATGTTGAACCAAATTGTTCACAGAAATTTAAATTTCTTTAGATTCATTTCTGTTAATCATCAGTTATTAATAATCACATCCATCATTAATAGTTGCTTTAATGCTTGCATCTGAGAGAATACTAATGCTTAATAGCAGTCAGACACTGATAACTGCACTGACTGTTCCAGAATTCTGTATATCAAACCTATTCATTGTTGTTGTTCTCCAATTTCCTTCATTGACTGCTACTAACTATTAGTTGTTAGTTGTATTTTATTTCTATTTTTTCTTGTTAACCAGTTTTTTTTGTTTTTTTTTTTTTTTGTGGGAGTGGGCTCTTCTTCATTTGTTCAAATCATGATATGAAACTGTCATGATTTTTATTGTATTCTGTAGATGGTGTCAATCAGTTTGTCAGAATTAAACATGCTTTTTTTTTTTATTAGTTGTGATTAGTTTTTCATGTTGTCATTAAGCCGTCACTAGCTGAAACTAATCTCTTCTCTATCTTTTCTTTTCTTTTTTTTTTTTTTTTTTTTTTTTTGTTTTGTTTTTTGTTTCTAACCACCCAGCCGCCACCGGCAACTAACCTATGACCTTCTGACCTCTGAACTCTTCACCCAATGATGACCTGACCATGCCTGCCTGCTGATCAGTTAACTGGTAATCGCCTTTGCTTGCCTGTCGTCAGTGCAGCGAGCTGAGGCACTTGTCCGTTCGTCTTACCATCTAACCAAACAAAAGACAAAGAAATTGTTGTCCTCCAACTCAGCTTTTGGTTTTTCTTTCTGTTTGGGTGAAAGTGATTCTAGAACCTGCACTGAATAGTAGTAAAGCAATAAGGCCCAATTCATCCCACAGCACTGATCATCTTTTCATGTCCTACCCTAAGCGAACGGTAAGAAGGCCTCACTTCAGAAGGGGAGACAGATGGCCCTTAACTACTCAGTGACAGAGGCAGTTACTGTGAGAGACTTCTAGGAACCTTCTTCTCATAGCGAGTCACAGCTCTCTGAATGTACTGTGTGATGATGCATCATGCATGAACCTTTGGTCAGGGATGTCATTGGTGAAGTGATTTCAAAAAGTATTCAAAATTTGATATGCTCTTTAGTCACTACAGTGCCCTCAAAGGGCAGAAGTTGCAGCCTTTTTTATATTGCCTGCCAAAATTTGAAGTATTAGAAGTGTGCCATGAGAGAAAAAACAAGGAATTTTGAGAAGTAATGCAAAGAACAAAACTGCAACACTATTTTTAAAAAGATAAATATCTGAGTTAAAATTACTGAACCTTTATTTTACAACCTCCTTTAAAAAATATATGAGAACAAGGTACATGCATTATGTGTCACATTACTGGGCAAACTGTTCAAATATTTTTTTTAAACCTCCCTGTATAGAAAAAAAAAATCATTAAGGATGTAAAAGCCATGCTTGCCTATTTGCTGTATACATGTAATGAAATTGTAGATAAAGTGTAGTGCATTGAAACAAATGAACAAAAAGTAGATACTTTTACTATACAAGGGTGCTGGTGCAGAAAAAAATATATATATTTTTGGAAATGTAGCATTTTATACTTTCAAGTGTTATAAAAAAAAAGAAAAAGAACAAAGAAACCCTTTATTTCATTAAATGATTTTTTCTGGTGGTTGTCAAGAAACAAAAGACCAAAAGAGCCTTTTTGTCTTTCTTTTTTATTTTTTAAGTATTGGAATAAGTCTAAAGAAAAGAAAGTGCCTTATTTTCCTTCATGGTCATTTAGTCAAGTGTCTTGTAAGATCAGCTCCTCCCTCAGAATACAAGTTAATGCATGTTACTCAGTCGCCCGCCCAGTATGTGAAAGATTTGAGGGGAGACAAATGAGTTGATGGTTTGAATTATATGATTTTTGCCACGTTACCTTGATACAAATTTGCCAAATCTGATACTGTGAAAAAAATTTGATAACTTTTCTAATGTCTGACAAGTTTTTAAACATCATTCTTTTAAAATCATAATCGAGTGCTTTTGGTTACTGTGATATTTAATGTTAGCCCACAAGGTTCTGAGATAAAAAATTATGTGTGATCTGAACATCAGTTTACAGACAAAAGTAGAACTTTATTTTATTCAGAGAAAGAGGAGTGTGTTGCATTTTTTCTTATTAAATTGGAAATAATAGTATTCTTAGCAAGCTTTTTCACAAAAATGAATCTTTGCGATTTTCATTCTGGATAACAGTATTTTTTAATGGCCCAGATTTAATCAGACTGCTTTCTGCCATACCAAATCACTTGGGTAGTCCATTTCTTTGGTGGTTTTAGTAACCTAAGTCCCCCCCCACCCCAACCCCAACCCCCACACTTTTTTTTTAACTTTAAGAAAATGAGAACTGGCAATAATTGTGCATATAAATGCTCAACTACATATGAGTTTCCAATTTCTCGTGAAATTCATTTAGTTTGGCAGTTGAAGTGATTTGTGCACAGAGCCAACTATATCTAAATACTTAAGTAAATAATCCTTAACTGCTCAGTACCGGATGTGGCAAATATCAAGTGGCAGTGGATCCCCAGCTTATCAACTCATTCCCTCTTGCATACCTTCACAGCTTCACAGTCAAAGGTCAGCAGTAAGCTCAGTAAGCACCTTCGTGGTGACCTCCTCCATCATCTTGTCTCACTTGGAAACCGTTTTCAGTTTATTTACTATGCAATAGACATTCATTGTTTTGTATTCAGCTAGCGTTGGTTTAATGTGCCACTGCTTTGTCTTTCTGTTACACATACAGTTGTTTTGATTTATTTACAATATATGCTGTGCCATTTTGATTTTTATTTTGTTTGGTTGGTTGAATAAATTTGCGACACTCGAACACTTGAGGTGATAATAGTTTAACAACAGTACCAGTATTTGATCCAGTTTCATCTCAACTATGTTATACCTGGACATTTTAGATGTTTATCAAAGGTCTTTTATGGGGAAGAAAGTAAATGTATGAAATAAACGTGTGACATTTATGAGTAATGTTGGCTCTGAACAAACTTTTGAAAACTTAGTTGATAAAATTTTGGATCAACTGAAAAAAAGCATGACTTTTGAAATCTCTGAATGCCTTGGTTCTCAGTATTATCATTCTTTATTGAATTTATTTCTTATTAAAATATGTAGTTTTTAAGACTTCTTTTCTGACAGTATTATGTAATTTTTTAGTGTGGGTAGATGGGAGTGTCGCTTGTATGTTACCGTACAGCTGACATGTATTTTTGTCAATTCTTTATTATCTTAGTAGTTTCATGCTATGTATGTATCATAACCAACCTATTGCCTATGAGAAACATGTAAGATAATGTATTTACAGCCATTGTTACAAGTTTATAATGTATTTTTCTATCTTGTTTTATATGTATGTTATATAACATTCAAAAAGAATTTTTTTCTTGATTGAGAAAAGGATACAAAATGCAGAATCCACAATTTTGATAACTGAAAATTGCCAATTGTTTTGCAGTACTTTATTATATTGGGTGTCTTGTCTTTCTTGGGCTTTTAGTTAGCTAATGAATGAATACATTAGACACTTTTGGGTTTTAGTTGGGATTTTACATAGCTTGCATTTTAATTCTTTGGTTCTTTGCTGTTTCTATTAACCCATAGCATTATTTTAATAAATGTTATAATACCAACCTACTAACTCTGGACTATGTCTGTTTATTAACCTTTACGTGTTTAATTAAAATAAACAAATAAAGAGAAAAGAATGTAAAGTCTTGAGTTACTGGACTAACCCTGAAGAACGTGACCACAGATAACATAGCGTGACTTGTTTTTATGTTGTTTGTCAGCTGACAATTGCGCACACTACTGTTAAAATGGCTTTGGTTATTCTGGCCTTTTACCTTGGGTGGGGCGGGGTAGGTGCCAGTAGAGATGGGAACAAAGTAGCATTGGTTTGGGGCATTCTTTTCTAGTCTTGCCACTTGCCTTTCAGCCTCTTGCGTTACTAATTTCACACTTTTCTTATTTTTCCTTCTCCAAAATAATCACTGTCTGCTCACAGCATAAAGAGTAAAGAGATTTGTTGTGATGATATACCCCCCAAAACCAGTTTGATTCTTTGTTGAACCATTTATTTTCATTTCTATTAAGTATTTTATGGTCACATTATAAAGCAAAGAATCTGGTGAGGGTTTGCCTTTATTCACATTTGTGTTTTAATTGGACATTTTTCCTTTATATAAATGTTGAACTGTTTTAGTCACTGTTCCTTTTGGGGGCGGGTAGGGTGGAGTGGGGGAGCTCAGCCAGGTAAAGCCAAAGGTAGAGTGGCTCTGTTTCTCATGACAGTCCAAAGTAAGCCATTTATAATGACCATGCACCCCACTTCTCTCATAACCCCTGGTGAGAGATGAGACCACATCCTTGAGTTTTCTTGAGGTGTTCTTTCTCTCTCACCCTCTTCCAAAATACAACCAGAATACTCCATTAATACAGAAGTTAAAGGAAAATGACAATGGCATTTGAGAAGTCATAGCGTTTCTTGCATACAAGTCAATTTTAGATTTATTAAATACCTTAGTCTTTTCTTGGCTGCAACTTAGGTAAATTGACCTCCACATATGAATTCTTTAATTCTTGAGGTACATTTTTTATTTCACAGATATTGGTAATTTCTGTGAAACAGTTCTCCTGGTTAATAAGTTCTCAGGATGAATTTTTATGTTTGTAAATAATGGCTTATTTTTGTAAATTACACTTTATTTATTTTAAAGTTCTAAAACTTGGGGCTGAAACGAGTTACATGTTATAAAAGGCATAACTATACTGATAATGTTATTAACTAGAGTGTCAAAATACTCCCATATTTATATATTTCTATAGTATATCTACATAAATGAATTACATAAAATAGTGATAACGGGTGATTTAATCATAGAGATTAGTCGTTTGGATCAAACATATAGTTGTTTCTCGGGTGGGGGGGTTGTGTATTACTGTTAGGTAGAGCTTTAATATGCTACTAGCTCAAACGTTCTCATTGCTATACAGTTCATATATTATTTTGTAAAAATTTGAGGATGTCTGTCAGGCTGCTAATCTATAAGTCATCATGGTACCGTGGCACTTAAATTGATGAATTTTTATGCAACTCACTACACATTCTCTGAAGCCTTATGAGTGCAGTCTCATCTCATTTTCAGCTAATGGTACTTCATGTATAAGTATGTCATATTGTCACCTTTTATGTTGGAAAAGTTGTAAAAGACTTTTAAAAAGGTGAAAAGAGTAGTACAAATCCCATTTTTATGCAAGCTGTAATGGTATTAAAAATGAAACTACCAAAATCTTAGAATGATAAAATGCTAGTCCGTGTATTGTTTTATACTGTTGTTTGACAAGACAATTGAAAGTTAAGCTTTCAGTCGAGAAGTTGGTAAAATTAACGTACTTAATAGTTAAGCATGTTTTTCTTAGGGAAAATGTCAGGAAGAATGTAGCATGAAAGTAGATACACACGCCCTAGTGCAGTAGCTCCACACAGAGGAGAGTCCACTCAGAGGAGCAGGTGAAGCACCCTGTTCACAAAAGCAAGATGTGCACATTTATACACAAAGTAGGTGGTTATGGTTTTCTTTAAAAAAAAAAATGTTAGATACAAAGGATCTAAATTTTCTAGTGTACTTAGAGCAGACAATAGGTTTAAATGAAATTGGTCATTACCAAATCAAGAATCTTCTTTACCAGTGATGTCTAACACTTTCATATCCTATATGACAGTTCAGGGTTTTTCCAGTATTTTTTTGTTTGCTTGTTTGAGATAAAAGGTCTTTATTTCTTGATAACAACTAGCTATTACATGATTTCTAGCAAGTGATATTCAGTAGAAAGAAGTGTAATGCTGTATTATAATGTTATTTAATAGCAAAAATAGCTCAGAAAACTTTTCGACTCCCAAACCTTCTAAGAAGAACCGAAGGCAGTTTTTAATGTTACAAATTTCCCTAATGCCTTTATTTAAAACAAAGTTGTTAAATTTTACAGGCAATATTTTTAGAAATATTCATATGGTACATAAGTAATTTTGTGGTTTCCTTCGTAAGTTAATTTGAAATACCTTTGTTATAAAGAGACTTTAAAATTATATGCATACCTGGTACTCAATGCTGAATCAAACTGGTCCACCTAAGCATAGTACTCTCCTTTCTGTGTTTCTGCTGCACTAATTGCCAGGGGCGGGAGAGGAGGAGGAAGAATTGATTCATAGTAGAAGTGAATGGTAGGTGCAGCAAAAAGCAACACAATGTTGATTGCGCATTGATTATGATTTTTCTGTCCTTGGTAAAAGACATCGCCTTGTGGAAAAAGCTCTGCTCCCAGGGTAAGAAAAAAAAACCTATATATTTAAAATGCTACTGAGAAGTTTTGATTACCAAATACAACTTTTATGGTTTATACTGTAGTGGTGTGTATAAGACATTTAGAACTTGTGGAAATTGTATTTAGAGAGAAAAGTTTGAATAGGTCTCAGATCACATGTGAATGGAGAACCACGTATGACTGTACATGAAGTGCAATAAACCAACTGGAAAAAGTGCATGTGCTTCATACTCTCAAGCCAACGTGCAGCTGAAAATGCTGCTTGTGCTCCCACCAATACACATCAGAGTAAAGGACACACACATTTTCGTTTTTAGTTTATGATGCTTTTAACATGATTTAAAAGAAAATAATCTGACCTGGAACTCTATCACTTAACTGGAAGGTGATCATAATATTTGCCTTGACTTCAGTGATTACAAACAGGAAATCAATAAATAGGCTTTTAGAAAAGCTCCTCAGTTGGATGTACGTACAAAATAGTTAACCATTTCTAATTGAGAAGTAGGTACAATTTGTAGACTTTAGAAGTAATGCATTCTCTGTGGTAGCCATCAAGCTGAAAATGAGTAATTTTGATACTCCCTTTAAACTGAACACTCCCCGGTTCAGACACACTCCCAACTACCCTTGGTAACACAACTAACTGTTGATTTCCTTAATCCTATCTTGCTTTAATTTTTCCCCCTCAACTCCCTGGTTCCTGTTGGTATTTGAGCTTGCCTCTCCAGATCCAGAATATTAATTCTGCATCAAACTAGCTTCTCAAAAGGTAGAGTTTGTAAAGCAGGTCTTAATGTTTTTCTTCTTGGAAAAGTCAGGTGAGTATATTTCTAAATTAATAAAAGTTGTTAGTCTATACATTCATAAATGTATTAATATTTAGTTAGGAATTTCTATTGAGTGAAGGCAGTAGGTGACATTTGGGTTTCCTTCCTAATGTAATTTTTTATAATTATCAGCTACCTCTTTATGTGGTCTTGTTAGAAGACAGTTAAACTAATGGAACATTTAACAATTATGTTAAAAAATATTCCACACGTAGAAGAAAACTACCAGTGCTAGTTTGTGATCACACTTTTCCAGAAAATGTGTATTAAAATTAGTACACACCATCTTAAATGTGCTTATTTGTACATGTGTGCAATAAACAGTTTCAGAGAGCCTCTCAAAATTAGGATGAAGATGTAACTATTCTGTTTTTTAATATGCTCCTGTTACATAACTGGATATTACTTACACTCTGGTTACTTAACTGGATACTTAAGGAAAGTCATGGGAAAGAATGGTTAAGATCAAATACTAAGAGAGGAAAATATTTGCAGATGAATCCACAAGGATTTTCTGGCAGAACTGTTGGAGTTGATACTAAAAATTTCATGATCATTCACTTACTTAGAACTTCAAGATTGGGAATGAATAAAATAACGTTATGCTTGAAACCTGAATCTTGAAAGCTGCTCTTAATCACAGTGTTTTAAAGTTTGTCTTATAAATTAAAACCGAGTGGTAGTCTAAGTGGAAAGTTGCCTTGAATACATTTTAATTAAATGATTTATGTTAATGAATGATGCTTTTGCCCATTGTTTTCTCAGGTAAAAGCACTGAAAAATTGTTCAAAACTTAAACTTAAGATCTCCAGATGGCTGGGAAACTTAAAATTTGAGTTCAGTGGGTGGAGTGCCTATGAAGACACTTACCTAAGAGCTCAGGTCTCAAATTGGAATGTCGGTAGAAAACCAGACTCACAAACGGAACATACAAGTGCCCCACCCTAAACTTGTTCAGGCATCAGTTGGGATGGGGCCATATGACATAGCCATAAAGTTGGGATTTTAAGTCAAAGATAAAAATGAAACCGGGAGAGCCCTACGACATCTGGAAACAGTCTGTCATCACCAAATTATCAGTGTCAGTTCTAAAACGAATTAGGGTACCTCCCATTGCTCTTGGAGAGCATGACAGAAGCAGCCTGGCATGGGGACACACACAAAAAATGTAGTTTTAGGTACTCCAAAGGCCACTGCATTTTACTGGGATTCTATATGAGTGTTTGACAAAGACTTTGTACCATTCAAGGAAAATCACTGATGTGGACTCCCCCAACTGCCTGTATGCCATTAAACTAATAATTACCAAAAAGTCCTCATATATATCTTAACTCTTTCAAAGAGGAGTTAACCCAAAATTTTCAAAACTGCTTGTTGCAGTTTACTAAGGTTTCTCCATCTCTGTCCCTGCCTCCATTTAGACACTTCAGAATATAAAGAAAAGTTGAATCACATGGCATAGATGGAGCTAAAACTAGTGAGAGGTAATCTCCAGGGGGCATAGCTTCTTTTAATTACTGGAATAACGTAATAATATTACGTGTAATATTTTTATCTGTAGAACTCCACATCTGAGCAAATATACAATGAACTGTAGCCAGCAAGACTATTATTACGGGAAATACTGGGAAGCTCACTCTTTCCTTGCCTCTGTAGCCCCTAACTCCAAAGAGAGTATACTTTCAGGAACGCATCGGACCAAGCTAACAAAGGAAAAATATACATAGATTTAACGTATTTACAAACTGAAGAAATGAAGTTGGTCAGCACGCCAACTCCCATTTCTTAAGTGTGGTTTTTTTTTTTTTTAAGATTTTATTCATGAGAGAGGCAGAGACATAGGCAGAGGGAGAAGCAGGCTTCCTGTGGGGAGCCCGATGGGGCACTCGATCCCAGGACCCCGGAATCATAACCTGAGCCAAGGCAGATGCTCAACAACTGAGCCACCCAGGCACTCTTAAGTGTTGTTTCATTTGTCATCCTACCAGACCCAAAGGCGATTACATGACTCCACTGTGAGGTCTGATCCTCTGGAGCCATTTGCTCCCTGAGAGTTGGGTAACAGTGTCACAGTGAGCCATCTGAGCAGGTGGAAAGAAATGCCTTCCCATGTGTGTGTCCACGGGGCTCTCTTGCTCTCCTTTTCGGTCTGCATTACTGCCTATTTTCCCTATGAAAATTTCTTGTGTAGAAACTTCGTAGAGCTGTGGCAATGAAATTAAAATTCCGAAATCCCAGGGGGCAGTTTATGAGCTGGATATTAGAAAAGTTTGTTGTGGTACCAAATCGTGTAACAATGGGTTTTAAAACCAAATATTAGATCAAAGATACTATAGAAAGTATCCCATGAGGAATCATGTCTGTCTCGTGTTTTACTCATATTGATGAATACCAGCCTCGCACTCAGTGCCTAACTGGATCAGACACATGGGGTTAAGATGCTACAATCAGTATATGATTCAATAAAATCAGTGACTTAAAATTAACAAAAATAACCATTTCTTTGTATATCAAAATGCATTAAAACCAAATTTGTGCATAGATTGTGTTATCCAAAGTGGTAAAGCCATGTAATAAAGTAGATTAATGCTTTAGAGTCAGAAACCAAGAGAAACCCTCCATGTCCTTTCAAAAATGCTCCCCTGGTGACCTGTTTGGGGGATTTTGCTGTTGTTATTCTAGATACTGATAAGTCCCAAATATGTGGGTGGGGCAGACAGCATTATAAGAAATTTCAATCGAAGACATCTTTCATTGTACAAGAAATTTTTAGAAGCAAAATTTATAAATGTTTTACTGCCACCCTTAAGTTATGATAGTCAAACAAAACAGCTATGAGAAATTTAAAGGTAAAATATTGGTGAAACACCACAAATTAAAAACCATGGAGATAAGTATATACAGTGCGTATGCTGTGCATTGATTTTTTAATTTGTGTTTTGGAGCAGCATAAGCCTGCTTTCCGCAGTTGCACTGTGGGCTTCTGTTGCCAAAAGCATCCAAGTGTCAAAAAGCTTGGTGTATTGCAAACCAAACTGGAAATGTAACCTGCTTCTTAGGATCTTCCGTGCTTTGTCAACAGGAATATAAAAACTGTGCATTCATTGTCAAAATAAAGATTTCTATTCCACATCTATGTTATGACATACCAAGTTAATTTGGAATATGTGTGTCTACAGAGATAAATTAATAGTTTTAATTAAGGCTGCTTGATCAATCAGAGTCCTTTTTCTATGCTTCCTTTTATCATAGGAAATGTTACAAATAAATAGAGGCTGCTTTATTTTATTCATTTAAAACACTGGTGATTCTGGGAAGATGTTTTTGTTTTTTTTAGCACACTTTATTCTTTCAAGCAGTTCTATGCTCACAGGAAAATTGAGCAGACGGTGTACAAATTTCCCACGTCGTGCTATCTGCACACTTGCACCGCTTCCACCACTGTCAGCACCTTGCACAAGAGCCCCACATTGTTACACCCTGTAAAGCCCAAGTGACACATCGTAATCCCCTGAAATCCATACTTTTTACACTAGGGTTCACTCATGGTGGTGCATGTTCTAGGAGATTGGGCGAATGTATAACGGTATGTGTACATCATTATGGGAGCATACAGAGTACTTTCACGGCCCTAGAACCCCTTCTGTGCTCCACCATCCCCCAATCTCTAGCAACCACTCATCTTTTTTACCATGTCTATGGTTATACTTCCCCCCACAATGTCTTGTGGTTGGAATCATACGCTATCTAGCTTTCTCAGACTGGCTCCTCTCACTTAGTAAATATGCATTTCTAAGTTTCTTCCATGTCTTTTCATGATTTGATGGCTCATTTCTTTTTAGTGCTGAATAATACTTTGTTGTCGAGATGTAAGCACAGTTTATCCATTAACCCATTGAAGGACATCTCGGTTGTCTTCATGTGTGGGCAATCATGAATAAAACTGCTCTTGACATCCGTGTCCAGGTTTTTGTGTGAACATAAGTTTTCACTTCTTTGGGTAAATACCAAAGAGCACAATTGCCGGATCATATGGTAAGAGTATGTTTAGTTTTGTAGGGAATTGCCAAAGTGTCTTCTCGAGTAGCTGTACCATTTTGCGTTCAGAATGTCCTAGAAGGGTGACGATTAAGGAGGCAGATAAAAATATATGGATAGGAATTTCAAAACTGAACCATCAGTTACATTGTTTCATCAGACAAATCCAATTTAGAACTCATGCTGATTTATTAAAATTCCAAATATGTCCAAATGAAGAACTTTCAAAATCGCCAAGCTGTTTTATTCATGCTAGAAATACTTATGTGCTAGGATGATTGTGCTGAATACCATGCCTGACCCCTGACAGACAAGAATGATGATAACAGTTCTTGGTTCAAACAGCTCA